GAAAACAGTATAATTTGTTGAGGCCGTGGTCACTGCGCTGTAGGTCTACACTCAACGAGCTTCTTTTTCTCGGAACTTTTTCTCGAGAAAGGTAAATGGCACATCACTTTCTCACCTGTCCTTGTCCACCAAGCAGAGCTTTTCGCGACAACTGAAAGGTTGCTGAGCTGAAATCAAAGACCTGTTGAATTCACAGGAAAAGTGCTTCGCGAATATTTTGTTACCGGCAAATTGGCGAGTCTGTGAAGAATCTGGTCTGCCAGAAGAATTGGTGTAGTTCAGTATGCCAGGATGATCTTTCATGATTTTTTGGAGCTGCTTGAGCAATTGCTGTTCCTCCTCTGGAGATAATGATGCCGCTGATGGTGACGCAGGAAGTCTCGTGATGTCGGTTTGTGATGACATGTTTAACAGCTCGTGCAATTTCTGTAACAATTGCACATTTGAAGCACTAAGTAAGTAATGTGTCTGTTCGGAAGGAATACCTTTGCAAGAGGACCATTAGTGACGTTCATGTGCTTTTTGAGTGCGTCGATTATTTGCGAAGGCGACATGCCTGACGTGACCTGAAATATTCATGGAATATCGCCGTAGCAACTTTATTAGGACGTTTAAAAACATAACAAAGTTCGATAAAAACTGTAGAACAAATATTAAACGATATAGTATACTATTAGGATTCTGCATCGCTCCTAAACGGCTTATACTATTGCATCTCGCTTAGACAACACAATTTTCCATAACTGCGGGTGAGCTACTGGTCTGATTGCTTACATTACCTTGTCCGGTTCACTAGAACCATGATCTTGAAACGTTTCTGAAATTCCGTATTAACAAGAATTAAATGTTCAAGGTTCATGAACCACCAGTTCAGCAACTAAATTAACACGTTGACGACAACGCGCGTTTTGGGTTTTTGCGCCGCGTGGGACCACGGCGATTTTGCAGGCGCCGCCGCCTCACATAAAATACGTGAATTTTAAGCTTTAACTAAGCAAAACTCGGATGCAACAAACTGTTTTGACATGATTCGAAGTGTCAGATTTTATCACACAGAAGCATACTGTAACAGTTCGACTCGACGTACCGGTTTTCTGACATAAAACGGCGAGTTTCAGGTACTTTTGCGTAGTGAAACGCATCTAAGATATGTTTGACGCGTTGGTTCCATCCCAAAACATATGTCTTGGCTATGATGGTGGTGGGCTTAATTAGCTATCTACTGTTCTTGTATCACATAGATTCAGAATGTAAAGAATAAAGAATGAACACTAATTGTGGGAACCTCGTAGGCTAGGACCCTTTGCTAAAAAAGAGTAGATATCAACATTCACCTGAACGGCTCGCCGTGTCTAGCCATATTAGGTGTAGTGTCTAACTAGGACACATAGATGCAAAAGCAAAAATTAGAAAAGACGTAGCGCATGCGCGAAAAAAAAATATAAATTTTGTGTGTGCAGCGCATGCGCTGCACACGGTCCCACACGGTGCTCAAGGTGTGATGCGCATGCGCTGCACAATGTCGTCAACGTTAAAGCAAATCGTAGGCCATCTTCCAAGATTAGTTGCCACGACACGTGGAGAAGGAACCTTATTGTCTCACCTCTCCTTGTCCACCAAAGCAGAGCTTTTGCGACAACTGAAAGGTTGCTGAGCTGAAATCAAAGACCTGTTGAATTCACAGGAAAAGTGCTTGCAAATGTTTTGATACCGGCAAATTAGCGATTCTCTTAAGAATCTGGTCGCCAGAAGAATTGGTGTAGTTCAGTATGCCAGGATGATCTTTCATGATTTTTTGGAGCTGCTTGAGCAATTGCTGTTCCTCCTCTGGAGATAATGATGCCGCTGATGGTGACGCAGGAAGTCTCGTGATGTCGGTTTGTGATGACATGTTTAACAGCTCGTGCAATTTCTGTAACAATTGCACATTTGAAGCACTAAGTAAGTAATGTGTCTGTTCGGAAGGAATACCTTTGCAAGAGGACCATTAGTGACGTTCATGTGCTTTTTGAGTGCGTCGATTATTTGCGAAGGCGACATGCCTGACGTGACCTGAAATATTCATGGAATATCGCCGTAGCAACTTTATTAGGACGTTTAAAAACATAACAAAGTTCGATAAAAACTGTAGAACAAATATTAAACGATATAGTATACTATTAGGATTCTGCATCGCTCCTAAACGGCTTATACTATTGCATCTCGCTTAGACAACACAATCCATAACTGCGGGTGAGCTACTGGTCTGATTGCTTACATTACCTTGTCCGGTTCACTAGAACCATGATCTTGAAACGTCTCTGAAATTCCGTATTAACAAGAATTAAATGTTCAAGGTTCATGAACCACCAGTTCAGCAACTTGTGATGACATGTTTAACAGCTCGTGTAACTTCTGTAACGATTGCTCGCTTGAGCACTGACTGAGTGGTGCCCAATAGAAGGAATACCTTCGCAAGAGGACCATTAGTGACGTTCATGTGCTTTTTGAGTGCGTCGATTATCTGCGAAGGCGACATGCCTGACGTAACCTGCAATATTCATGGAATGATCGCTGCAGCAACCTCGATCACGACGTTTGCAAACATAAAATGTTTGATAGAGATTATAGAACAAATATTAAAAATATAATATACTATCAAGGTTCTGCATCGCTCCTAAACGGCTTATACTATTGCATCTCGCTTAGACAACACAATTTTCCATAACTGCGGGTGAGCTACTGGTCTGACTGCTTACGTTACCTTGTCCGGTTTAGTATGATCTAAAACGTCGCTAAAATTCAAAGCTCAATTCAAAGATCATGTACCACGAGTTCAGCGAATCAATTAAAGCAAATCGTAGGCCATCTTCCAAGATTACTCGCCACGACACGTGAAAAAAACTACTAAAAACTACACATATATACAGTAGCGCTCAAAACTTTTCGGTGGAATAGTTTTTCGACTGTAACTTTTTTTCCTGCTGAATCAAATCAATTCAAATTTTAATATGTTTTAGAGATAGTCCTACTTCACTTAAACGGCATATTTGTTTCGGATTGAGAAAGAATTAAGAATGGAAAAAATCATTTCACTAGACATTTTCGAGTAAAACCAAATTCCAGGTAAGTTTACAACGATTAATACAACGATTCCTGAAAGGAACTTGCTGAATTCTTTAGCTCATAGCTTCACCCCTAGGAGAAAGCATGCAGCGAATCTCTGGCAATGGATGCATATCGGTGATTATGATAATGTTATATTTTTGATTGGTTTTAGAGGAAGATAAAACTCGATGAGAAGAAATTGTCGAGATTCGGACAGAAATTATGGACAACCCATATACCAGTTTGGCGGCGCACGCATTCGCGTTCAACCACGGGGCTCACTGGTATAAAACAGAATATGAGAGTGGTAGCAAACTCCGCCCAGTTCGGGGTGTGCCACGCCCAGCGTTCACATTCAACCTCTCCTCCTTTCACCTCTATACACATTTTTTCAGGTCTCTAAGTCATCTCGGAGCCGAATTATGAGGTCTTGTAGGGGACGAAATCGAGCTACGTATCTTTGTGGCAAACCCCGCCCACTTTGGTGCATGGTCGCCCACTGATATCAGTTGACTATCATCTCTTCCCCAACCTTTTTCTACTTTTTCCCATCTCCGGAACTTATTGGAACCGAGTTATGAAGTACCGTGGCAAACCCGCCCACTTTCATGCATGCTCCGCCCTCCCTTTCCTCGTCAACCCTTATCCACTTTCTTCCCAGTCTCCGGGACTTCTAGGAACCGAGTTATGAGGCCTGGTTGCAAACTCCGCCCACTTTGGTGTAAGCCACGCCCAGCCTTGACATTTAGCTTCTCCTCCCTCCTAACCTCTATCCACTGTTTTCCGGTCTCTAAGTCATCTCGGAGCCGATTTATGAGCTCTTGTAGAAAACGTCGTCTACTTCAGGAGCACGCTCCGCCCATTGTGGGCGGGCCTCCTCATTCATGTTTGCTGGGAACACCTTAGACATTGGCTGCCTACAACAATTCATGCTCTGCTCTGTAGGCTTTCTTCAGAGCCAGTTATGGACTTTTCCATCAGTGCGTTTCATAATTATAAGATAACCCTAAAATTCTGCATTTCCGAAACAAGCAGCAACTGGTAATTTTTCTAGTATCACCAGTTGATTCCTCACTATGAAAACCCCTGGATCGCAATTTTGGCGGGAGCAGCTTTTCTTCGAACTTTTTTAATTATTTTTCGGTTTTTGCACCGTTTCATAACATAAAGTCCCCGCAGTGAAAATGAATACTATTAGGTCGGTCCATAAGTCTTGCAACAAACTGGCCGAATTTTGAATTTAATATTTTCATTATCTTTTTGTTCCATTCATCCGGCATGCTACCCTCCATCAATATCTACAACCTATTGCCAACACACTAGTAGCTGCTCGATGCCTCTTGTAGGAACCTACTGAATTCGACTTGAACATAACGGTGTCAGATCGTGTTTGGAGCTGAATCGGGCTCAAGGCACGTGGGGACCAAACTCTACATTTTCGGATCTTCACAAGTCTTTGGAG